GTTTTAAATTTAATATAATTTTATACCTGATGATGGTTTAATAAAACCGCAACATGTTGTAACTGTTCCAATTGTAAATCGATTATTCGATATGGAACACAGAATGATATTTTAATTATTTTAATTATCTTATTTTAAATACATTGTGATTTGACGGAATAAACAAATAATTTAATTTTAATAAATGTTTTTTTATCATTTTTGTCGTTAAACGACATTTTGCCTTATGTAATTTTTTTGTCTGTTATAATAGTTGTCGTGGTGTGATTACAATTTGTTTCTAGGGATTTTAGACTTCATGAGATAATTTTATATCCGTTGCGGTGGTAATGCTGTTAAAGAATGCCTGATATTAACAAAGTGTTTTATCTGATTCGAAGATATATCGGCCCGCGGCATTCGGGTTGATAACCCACATGAGAGCATGTATTTTGTGAAAGTCATGGGAGTATAAAGTTAGTGTTTGCAGCTTGTGACATGCATATATTACAAACTACGCAAGGGAAGTTGTCCGCGCTAACTTTAATCGTAACTGCAATCAAGAAATTTCAAAACAGTCGTTTCTCATACTTGTCTTCATATCTGGAAAAATGATGTCTACTGGGTTTCCACGATGCAAAGAATGTAGTCCAGATCCCTCTGTGTTCTTTGTGTAAACGTTTACCATTATGAAATTACAAAATATTACACGACATTTAATAATTTGCTTACGTAATTATTTACGTAATCTTTTGGAAGATTTTTATCCCAGCCATCAAATATATTCGTCCCGAGTCGTAAAACGAGTATGTGAATTGTTGGTAAAGACACGATTTTTGTGTAAATCTCTTAATTTTATAATAATATTATCTCATTACATGTCTATGGTTATTTTACTGTCGACATGTTTTGGAAAATGATATATTTGGATTTTTTTAAACACGGTTACAAAATTTTGTAAATCACAAGGTCTCTAAAAAATAACCCTGACTGATTTTTCCGCGGGGGTGAGTGGTCAGCGTCACGCCCCGGCCGTGCTTTACCCCCGGGAAAGGACCCCGGTACCCATTGGGGTGGGCCCCATAACTGGACTTTTAAGACTAGAAATTATATTATTTGATATCGAGAAAGCATTCGATTAAAATATCCCATAATCATGCAAGCAACGAGAAGTTTACTTGAAATTAGACAGCAAGACGTAATTTTCTTTGTAATCGATTCTTAGGAAGCACGTGTCCTGATGTATTTGACTGCACGCTGTATTTATTAGTAGCGTGTTGTTTATTCCAAACAGTTGAACCTCACGCGGCAAAAAGGAACGTGTTCAGAATTGAAATTCGATTCAAACCGTGTTAAAGGGACAAGTTTCCTATTAGTCATGACAGATTAGACTTGCCGAAAGAGACGATGACGCATCAACATCGATCAAAATCGATCTTAAGTATGTGACGTACGATCGATATCTCGCCACTGGTTTACTTTAAGGCATGTTTTAAATAAGTGCTGTAATTTGGACACTGAATGAACGTAAAATATGACAGTTAACTACATAATATTTTTTAGGAGCTTTGACATTTTTTAAAATGTCTTTCTAGTTTCAAGGAATAAACGTGTTAATTTTGGTGCAGATCGATATATCAGTCCTCCTGGGATATAAGCGAGAACGTACAGTTCAAATTTCTAACACAAGATGTCACCGTGGAAACAACAGCTGTAAGAAGGTGTTTCAGCTGCCAGCGTTGGACTCGGTTGGTGCCCAGTGGCCTGTCTCAACTACTGTAGGATGAAGGTCATGTATTGGTTTCTATTGACTGGCTAGCTGCACGTGATTTTACGACAGAGGAATCTTAACGCCAGACTGGCGCGATGGTTTTATTGTCACCTCTGAAAGACGTCTTTAGCCGTCATTGAAAATGGTATTTGGTTCTGATAATAAAAGTGGGAAGAAATAACAGATGGAAACTGCTTGATTTAAGGGGACAGACGTGGAAGGAATTAAAGAAAGATGAAAACTTGCTTAATATTTTTTTTTGTAGATTTTTGTTCATCTCTGTTTTCTGCCCCCAAGCGATGTTTTTTTTTTCGTATAACAGAGAAACGGTTTGAAAATTAATTTTCTGGAATTCCTTCAGTTGGGAAAAAAAATGTCGGTTTTAAATACATTGTTTTTTAACAGTAAAAGTTTAAAATATCACAGTTTATAAATAATGACCTTGTCTCATTACTTTGTTAACATCGTGTATTTAGCTCAGTTTTGTCGTTCTTCGGCGATTGTAACTGGCTATATTAACGCAAGTTATGTTTGTCCATTTTAATATTATCCTCCCATTTACGTACATATAGTTAGCACTGGGCTTTAAAACGCTTAAGTTAAATCTGTCTGTGTACTTAATTAAACATCATGCTACGAAGATATATTCACGTTAACGTAACTCAGATAAGGAAATACAACCTATCTTAATTAAAGAGATCAGTTGGTTAATGCAATTTTTTTTAAATAATATCTACTTATTATTAGAATCAAAATCGTTAACTATAACTGGTAATAAAATGCAGAGTTACTGCAAGGTAAAGTGGGTTTTGCACAGATGTTACCAACATGATATTGTCACTGCCTTACGAATAAAATTAATCTTCTTGATAAAAGGTTACAAAACACGAAGGTATAAACATGTTACTAAATTGTATTCTGTTCCGTTCCATGATACAATTAACACGTATCAGATCTCATTAATTTGGTCTGTCCGTTTCCCTCTGAGTTTCTATAGCGATTGTATAATTCAAACCTGTTCTGTGGTAACAGCAGTGCCTCCATCTGTTTGCAGCCCAACGATTTAATGTTCATATAATGAGCTAATGGCATAGGATCGATACGAAACAAACCCCCCATCTTTAAATTTTATCGATAAGCGTTTCTGTTAATTTGTACAGCGTTTAAATATATATAGATATACCACCTACTTTAATATTCATAAACTTTACATTTTGGCCACAGTGCATTTATGTGTTTCGTATTATTCTCAAAATAAACAGAGATTATTTCCTTAAACACCATTTACAAATGGAGACGCTTAGTGTTTTCTTTGAGGTAAGGACTGGATTCTTAAATGTTATTTACACGAGCTCCAAAAAAGTATATTTTTCATTACTAAAATATATCTATTTCCCATCTTTTGATCTTATTTCAATCTTCCTTCACCAGACGGACGAGTGAGCAATGCCTGGGAACCTTCACTGTTAGAAAATTTTCTCCCTCCACTTGAGTTTTTCCCGTGTTTGAAAGGGGAAAAGATTAATCATGCGGACGGACAGACAATTTTTTATTCAGTTACTTTATTAATTTCGTGAAAATTATGTATATAATGCCTTCTGTTTATACCAGGAAGTTAAACCATCAATAACAGTCTTAAGCATAAATTATGATTATAATTCGCAAATAGTAAATCCTTTCATTTCACTGTAACGATAAAAATGCGGTCAAGGTGAGAAAAATACTCACGTTGTTGACAAGAACTCCGCAGTAATCTGGAGCTCCATTATTAGCTAGTAAATTGATACCCAGTGTCGTCATGTGACTTCCGTTTCCGTATGTCATGCAACTCGGAGACCGGTAGTCGCGAGATTGCACTGCACCTGGAAAAAAGAATGGAAAAATAAATTATTACATGTAGGCGTCCACAGATTTCCTACAAATTTAGAAGCCACCTTAATTCGTAAACTAGGAGACGTAATATACAGTGCGTTCACTGATAAAGTTATACGCAGCTGTGACTCATTGCCAAGCGCGACAAGGTATTGCCTATACGAGTCACGTATCACTTCATAAAAAGACAATAAAATTAACTTACCACAGTAATGTAATATTTTAATATTCGAAAGTATTAAATTTTCCGAATAGTAAATTTTGTTTAAAAAATTTAACAAAATCGTATGAACGAGGATTTAATTTTTAAGAAGTATCAATTGAAGATAAATGTTTTGAGACAGTCGTCCTGATGATGGAGGCAGTTATCGCCTCTAAAACTTCGACCAATTTCTACCAGACTACAAGGCACAACATTCCATTCATACGCGCCGCCTTGATAACATAAAATCTCACAAGTGCCAAATAATTTTCCTAATTATATATGACAAAAAAACTAAAAATAATCCTATATCGTGAATACTGAAGGCTGTGTTTACTCGGAATATAAAAATAATTTACGAGTTGGCGTATAGAAATATATTGTAATGAACATTAACAGAACTTTGCCCTTCAGTACAGATCAGACGGAGGTAAATGTTATCTATGAAGCTAGAACAGGCTTGAAACTAATCCGAGATTAGAAGAGAATAAATTGAAAA